CGCGCGCGGCGCGAGGATGACCGGCTGAAGCATTGCTGGACGCAAGTGTGCTCAGAGGGCACGGAGACCCGGCCGGGACCCCATCCTCTCCCACACTTTGTCGTCGAGAACGGCCTGCTATACTGTGTCGCCCAGCGAAGGGGGGAGGAAAAACGGCTACTCGTAGTGCCCCGCACGAAGACGGAAACGGTGTTGGAGTTGGCTCACGCACATCTGCTCGCGGGACATCTTGGGGCGGCCAATACCGTACAGCAGGTCCGTGACTGATTTCACTGGCCCGGCCTGGACGCCGAAGTCAAACTGTTCTGCCAAGCCTGTCCCATCCCTTGCAATGGATGGCCCGGGCTAAAGACACCAACGCCCGGGTGACACAATGGTTCCTCGCGCTCCAGGACTTCCACTTCGTGGTCTGTCACCGCGCCGGAGCAGCCAACGCCAATGCCGACGGCCTGTCTCGGATCTGGTCAGCTTTTGCAGGTCTGTCAGGGGTCACTCCCCACCCACCCCCAATATCCACCTTGTATTGAGCTCTCCTTGTCGCGTATTCCTTCCACCCCGTTACAATATACACACACATATTATAGTTTGTTCAGATTAATAAGAAAAAAAGATTTAAAAGTTTTCCATTTTAATATATTTTATAATGTATTTACTCATGCCCACACTTAGTTCATCACAAATATATATATATATATATATCTTATTTCTCCTTTTATTTCATTAATATATTATTTTATATTAAGTTATAAAGTCGCCACTGATGAGTCTTAAATAAAACCATTTTATTTAAAGGGGTGGTTCACTGGGGTTTTTCTAGGCTTGATTGTGTTTATCCGGTGCAGTCTAACATGTTAACGCTACGTTTTTTAAAAAACGCATTATTTTTCACATAATTTACCTTTATTCCACACCTCAGTCCCTTCTCTGAGAAACGGGCTGATTATTTCCTTCTTTTATGAAGCCCCTCCCTCAGAAATAGGCGATGAGCTCTGATTGGTTAGCTAGCCCAGTGTGTTGTGATTGACTAAACCGCATCTAGCGCGCGTCTACACGTCCCGCCCCTCACCTCGGCAGCATGTGCTCTGGTTGTATTGTAAACAACTGCATCGTTAATATCGCTTATCAGTTTGAGCCCGATTGAGAAGCAGAGGACATAATTGAAGAGGATGTGCAGAACCTGTGCAAGCACGGCTTTTAATGGTAGGCCTATGTTTTTTGTTTGTTGTTGTCTCATACTTTTAGATACGCTTTTATTTGTAAATGCTACTGCTTATGTTAGCTTTTAATATACAGTTTTATCCTGATTAAAGCTTTAATACAGTATGGCAACTGCACGCGCATCCATGTTTAACGCTTCTCATAGCTATGTGAAAATAAGTGTATAATTGTAACAGTTCATTGTTGGAAGTGAGCTGAATGAAAGAG